CTGCACGTTCGGTGGTGCACAGGCGAATGCAACCAGCCGGGATGCGAGGTCTGCAGCACATCACGGCGCTGCTGCTGACCTGGGAATGGAGGAGGGAAACAGATTCTCTTCCTCCAAACGGAGGAAGTGCTTGGCTCCACCGATTGCCTCAAGCACGGGGCAGCGCACGTCGGTAAAGGCAATGGGCTTCTTCTGGCTTTGTGGGTTAGTGTTTGTTGGCGCTTTGCTACCATGACTTTTGCAGCCCGATCTGTTGTCCCCTGCGGTCTCGTGGGATGTGATGAGCGGTATGTGGGGGCCGCGTCTGTCCTAGTGACCCCAGCCATGCCTCCAGCCTTCGTCGGTGCGTTAGCTGGCTGTGGCTGTGCCCCTTGTCCTCTTCCTGGCAGATCTCTGTAGTGATCAATGGCAAGTCGGTGCTTTTGGGGGAAGGCAGATTCTTTGCCCAGGAGAAAGCTAGAAGAGCAGCATGTGCCATCCCCAAACGTGCTGCACAGACCCACATCTGGAGCCCTGTGTCCAGCTGTGTCCCCCCCACTACAGAAAGGATGTGGACACTGGAGAGAGTCCAGTGGAGGGCAATGGAAATGGTTGTGGGGCTGGGGGACAGGACTGGTGAGGAGAGGAGGAGGGAAATGGGCTGATTGAGTCTGCAGAAGAGAAGACCGAGGGGGATTGAATAGCAGCCTTCAACTCCCTGCCGGGGGGCTGCAAAGAGGATGGAGCCGGGCTGGTCTCAGTGGGGGCAGATGGCAGGACAAGGAGCAATGGGCTCAAGCTGCAGCAAGGCAAGTTGAGGTTGGATATTAGGAAAAACTTTCTTACGAGGAGGTGGTGAAGCACTGGACCAGGCTCCGCAGAGAGGTGGTGGACTCTCCATCCTTGGAGGTTTTGAAGACCCGGGTAGACAAAGCCTTGGCTGGGATGATGTATTTGGGGCTGGTCCTGCTTGGAGCAGGGGGTTGGACTGGATGTGACCTCCCGAGCTCCCTTCCAGCCCTTCTTGTCTATGCTTGTCCGAAGCCGGCTCGCTCTCCTCGGCAGGGAGGGAAGCTGCTGTACGTGCAGGGCCTGGCTGCTGACTGTGAGGCCTACTTTGGACCTGTCCCGTGGTCAAGAAGCAGCTGTGCTGCAGGGTCCCCCACTGTTGTGCGTGGGGCAGGGGAGGCTGGGGAATGGGGCAGACCCTGCTTCATCCACGTTCCTGCCCCCCGTTGGGAGGACGAGAAGCAAAGCGCATGGGTGCAAGCTCACAGCTCCATTCGGTGTATGCCTCATGCCCCTCTCCCCCCGCAGGACCCCCCCACACCTCACGGGTCTGTGTCTGCTCCGTCAGGCTTGGAGCATGGCACTTTCCAGCTCCCGGCCCTGCGTTTGCGCGGGAGCTGCGGCTGGTGCAAAGACCCGAGCTCAGTCTGAGCCCCCCCCCCCCCGTTCTCCCTTGCCCAGTGGGGCCTCTCCATCTCGCCCAGCAAACAGCTCGGCGCTTCCAGCACCCGCTGCGGTCTGTGCCCATCAGGGAGGCAGAGCAAGCGCGAGCAGCTGAGCCCCTGCTCTGGGCCTGGGGGGTCCGTCTCTGGAGGGTGCAGAGAGCCCTGCCTCCCCCATTCCCCCCGCCACGCTGGGCCTTCTCCCTGCAGTCCTCCAGCACCGGGCCAGGACTCGAGCCAGGGGCATCCTCTGCCTGGGCCCAACCCGGCTCCTTTTGAACGAGGGGGGATCCGCCCCCGCCTGCCAGCCGGAGCCGGTGGCTTTGCCCTGGCCGTGCGGCACACCCCGGCTTGTGGTCAGGGCAGGTGACGCAGGCAGTGACTCAGGCAGGCAGTGGGTCTCAGGCTGCAGGGAAAGCACTCCAGCCTCCGCAGGGGAGGCACCTCCGACGTCTGCAGCCACGGGGCTGTTTCCTGGGTGGATGGATGCCACCGTGTGGGAGGAGGCAGAGGCTGGGGGTGATGCTAGCTTCCTAGGGGTGGTGGGCAGGGAATCCCAGGCCTGGGCCGCGGGGCCAGGGAGGAGCTTGCACCCAGCCCTGCGTGCGGAGGGCTCTGGGCTTGCTCCCTCCCCGGATCCCCCCTGGCTGGCGCGTCTTCCGCCTGTGGCCTGGCCAGCCCAGGTGGACAAGGACACGCTGGCTTCTGGCTGTCTCTGCTTCCCTGCCAGCCTTGCCCATCGCTCTGCCCTCCCTCCAGGCCCAGCAGTGGGTGCACTGGGGTGAGTCTCGGTGTGACCCCCGGTCTTGCGGCTGCAGAGACCTGACCGCCCGTCCCGCACTCGGCATCTCGCAATTGCTGGCACCTGTTCTTCCCAGCAGCCGGGCCGTCTCTTCCTGGGTCCGTGCGGGCTCTCCTTCCCCTTCCGGGCTGTTACCTAACCCTCTTTCTGGGCATCGGTTGTGTGACTCGCGCGTCCCTGTTGCATCACTCGCGACAGCAGGTCCAGTGGTCGGAGCTGGGCGCCCCCCCAGCGGTGTTGCTGAGTCTCTGCGCAGCGTGGGCGCTGGATGGGACCCGGGCTGCCTGCGGAGGCGCGTCCAGGCTGCGTTCGTCTCTACGGTTTGGGGGTGGAGGGGACACGCGTTCGAGCCGTTTTGGGCCCTTCCTCTGCTGGGGCGGCCGGAGCAGCGTGGCCAGTGCATGGAGACCTCCTGCCAGCTGCAGTCCCAGGCTCCCGTCTTCCCGCCGGGCCTGGGCCCACGTGCCTCGCCAGTGGGTTTCCCACTAGCCAAAGGATGGGGACGGCAGGGAGGTTCGGGTCCCGCAGGCTGCAGGGGGGAGGCCCTGTCCTCCTTGCCGCATGGCTCATGGCAGCAGAAAGCCCCTTCCTTGGGCAGGTGCAGAGTGGGTACAGGCAGGCACAGACAGGGCTCCTGCCCACCCAGCGTCGTGGCGCTGGGCTCGGCGAGAGCCAGGCTTGCCAAGCTGCAGCAGGCAGGGAGGCGCGGTGCGCCTGCCAGTGCTGGGCACATCCCTCCCCCGTGTCGCACGGGCAGGGGGTGGGTGAGACGCGGACGTCCCTGCAGCCGTCCTTGCAGCCGCGGCAGCCTTATCTGCAGGCTGCAGCCTTGCCGGGCAGTGCTGCTGGCCTGACGGCAGGCACCCAGGGCCTTGCCTGAAGGCTGTCGCAGGAAGAGGAAGCGGGCTGCGACGGCACAGGTTGCAGGAACGGCAGACGGTTCCCACGGGGCCGATGCCGTGTGCATGAGCCTTTTTACCCTTGCCTTGCTCCTGCATCCAGGGCTCGGGCCCTGCTCTTCACGCTGCTGCATCCCGGGCGGTGGAGAAGCGACGCAGCCCGGGGCAGTGCAGCGGCTCTGCGGGGAGCGCTGGGAATTGCTGGGGCTGACGGGTCGGGGGACACGGGCGCCGATGGAGTGATGTGGGGTGAAACGGGAGCATGTGTCGATGGGGGTGGCTGCGGTCCTGGCTGGCGGGAGGGCATCTGATGGAAGGAGGAGGGCAGGGGCAGGGGCGGTTGGCGGCCCCCCGCCCTCACGCCCCAGCCACCCCGAGGGGCAGGCCCGGCAGCGGGGGTGGAC